AATAGAATCACTAGTTATGAAGAATAAAATAAAAATCATAGGATAAAAGCTGCAAATTCGGCGTAAAAAAGGCCTATAGGTTCCGTACAATCCAGTCAACCGAAGTCCAGTCCAGTCCACCTACGGATTTTCCAAAATTAAAAAACACTCAAAATTCGGGCTTTTAGAAGAGGAAAAMAAGTTTTAGAAGTTGGGCATGTTTTTGGTATACATTAAGATTATCCATGGTCCTCCAAAAGATGAAAATTAATTTTTTTTTGTGATTCAAGATTAAGATTAAGGCTCAGTCACTTGCAATCGATTTCACTCACAACCAATCCATTCCAGTCACATCCAATTTATTTCAATAGCATCTTAATGGGGAAAAATTACTTGTAAAATCTAATCAGGTAAAACAAATAATATCCAGTTAGCAACACCTATCAATTTTTGCTACTGGAACTATGTATGTGGTGAAGTGGCTCATTCTGTTCTACCCTTGAGCACCAAAACTGTTTGTGCATGTTATAGTAATGTTAAGGTTGAACATCTTTATGCATCCCTCCTCTGATAAATAATCAATCAGCTTTTAATGAAATTATATTCAGTATTTACATGTCCAAAGCTAAAATAAGTTTGCTGTTGTTGTAGTATAATGGGAGATCAACACCATTAATTCTTACCTTGGATTACCAACTGAAAATATGAAAGTTGATACTACCTAGGTTATGCTATATATTTTCATAGACCTTTGGAATTTTGACAACTGGCCACATTGGGTCAAGATGGCTGTGCTTTGTTCACTGACAAAGCACAGTTCGTGACCAATCAGAGTGCACATACTATAAAATAAATACAGATAAAAAGGTCTAAAGTGAGATATTTGGGTCATTTTAAAACATAACACTATTCTGGCCTTAGACATTCATCTCTAGCGATGCAGAAATCAGATGGAAAAACTTTAAAACAAACATTTGAAAAAAAGTGAAGAGGTGAAAATAATCATTAGGTTTGTTTTTCAGTCTTTACCCCCGTCTCTAGACCATAATCTTTTTCACACTGCTTTTGTTAGTCTTTAATTATGACTATTGTTCCTGTATTCTCTAAGGAATAAAAAATTTTAATATGAAAGAATTTTAAAAACTATTATGGTATAGAGTTGGGGGTAAAACGTTATCTCGCTTCAGGCTTATTTCATAGACCTTTGAACATGCAAAGAACCTATTGCTAATCATCCTATAACCTTGTTTCCCCATYAACTTTTCTCTTGCTATTCAATGTGCAAAATACTTTTTGTCCATTTAAAGGTTATAAGAGCACTGGGACGATGTTCTTTGACGAAGAAGTTCATTCAACTTTTCAGATTTGACTTTTCTCAGGTGATGCAAAGCCTTCTGGGACTGGAATGTGCGAATGAATGTGTCGACATCTATTTCTCTCTCCAAGAACTTGTCAACAGTTTTCTACAAATGGGTAATAAGATGTTAGCAATAAATTACCTTTATTCATCAAACCCTTATTTAGGAACCCTGTGGAATTTGTAGGACCATTTTAATATTCTCTAGTTGTAAACATGATAAATGTATATAAGATACCTCTGCTTCTTCTTCTGCTTGAACTGTTGCAGTTTGAAGGAGTGCCATGGTTGTGTCAGAGGAATACTGATCAGAYAGATTAGCTGGAACATGAGCCATAAAAATTATCAATAACAATAATCAGTCAATACTATCAACATGGATCATTATCTTTGTCATCATAATCATCAGTAGCATCATTTTTATCATCAATCTTGATGATATCATCATCATCATCAGTGTCTTCATCATTACTTATCAATAATAATATTGCCATCAATCATCATCATCCTTAATTATTGTCAATGTCTCTTGCACAGCTATATCTTTAAGAATCGAAAAGGTCTATAAAGATGAAACYAGTTTCTGTAAAAAATCTTGATTTTTAATGCATAAAAGATYATTTCAAAGGTTTAGAAACTTGTATCATGAGACTTCATCATCATTGATCATCAACAATAACAATGTCATTATTAATCATCATTCATAACATTGTTATTATCAATGACATCATTATCAGAGACATTTGTAAGTGACATCATCATAATAACCAGTATACCTAGTGCTTGYTTATTTATTTCAAACTGTGCTTGTAACGTCTCCCTGTTTTCATGTGATTCTATAAGCCTTTCTCTTCCACTGGCAAGTTTGGGCTCCAAACTCAAATTATATTCAGCTAGGCTTCTGTTCCTTGCTATTAACATCTCACGCAGCTGTTGGATTTTCTTAATCTGATCCATTCATTAACGAGAAAAATATTTTCAATCAGTATCATTAGGAAAGGTATGGAAGAAGGTTTTTTGGATGATGGGATAGTATTAATCAGGTAATCATATTTTTGTGCAAAACATCTGTTTCTGGTGATAGCATAAAGATGAAACATCGGCCCAGATCATATCACTAAATAATGCTCCACAAACCTCTTCCAGGTCCTGAATAACGTTATTAACATTGACTTCTACCATGTCATTCTCCATAAACTCTTGTAGYTCGCCTTTATCAAGGTGTTGTAACAAACTCATGCCATCTTGTACGGCTTTCTCGCAGTCTAACCTCGGCACACTAACCAAAGAGGGCCCATTCGACATCTTGGAATTCTCCAATCTTTAAATCTTCTCTATCCTTGTATATTTGTAAGGGGAAAAACAACAGGAAAAAGCTTCAAGATCGTGAAAATTTCTCACTTCGAACGTCACTTCGATTTTTGTTTGCAATCAGTTTCAGCAGGCTATTCATGTGACCAGGCAATTCTACAACCACAGGGAACCCAACTTKAGCTAAAAATAAAAAATAAAATAAAAACAAAGGAAAAGGAAAGTGACTTTATTAAATTTTTGTATTTGGAATCCTCAAAAAGTATTCTCGATAACATAACCAGAGTAGAAATTCGAGCAAATTCAGGATGCAAAATGTTGATTTTTTGCGCGCTTTTCTTTTCCAATATGTTTTTATTTAAAAGATCAAATGTATTTAAAGATTATTACTTTTTATTAAAAAATATAACATTTTAAACCAATTTATGTAATGAAAAAATTTRTTTTAATTGCGCATTTGACTTCAAACCAATATTACGAAGTTCGTCACAATCCTTCTCGGGTTGGTTTTTAACGCCTGGTTAAAATTGCATTTCTGGGAAATTCCCGTAACTTTAGTGTGTATTCTGAGAACGAATAATTTAAACCTCTAAAAGAATTAATTTTTGTCTTAATATCGGAGAAATATCAAGTGTAAAGTACCAGGATGAATATTTAAAGGTTTGTAATTCATAAAACTATCGATTTTTTTCTTAAGTTACTTCAAATTTTTGTATCGTCGCATTTCCTCGTTCTGTAGGTATARAATCGATGCTGTAAGCAATGACGCATCAGTTTTGTGTGTGTGTGTCTGTCTGTGCATAGTTAATAGAGTGTTTTAACGAATTTAAGGAAATTAAACTGCGCTAGAGTTTTCAAAACGTTAAAGTTGAAGCATTAAAATAATGTCTTTAATACTGACAATTGTACCATTACATTACTAAAACGAATGTTCTTCAACGCGTTACGAATGTATGTTAGCATATATATATTTAAGTGTTTACTTCATTCGTTTCCATCACATTTTCAGGCATACTAATGTGAAGCTTACGGCAACTGAAAGTAATGGAAATTCACTCCTTGGGGGAGGTATGGGTATAACACAATATATCCTCCCCAGACCCTCCCCACCCCTCAAAAATTGTAATCCCCCTCCAAGGGGCAGGTATGGATATTTTCTGGAGCTATACAATATAAATTAAAAATCCAGATTATTAGAAATATTTTTTTTACAATTTTCTTTAATTTATAGTTGCCATATCCCTTACTATGCCAAGAAAAATAATCGAAGTGTTAGAAAGTAAAAAAGGCAAGATTATAGGAAAGCGTGGCTGTAAAANAGAAAGTAAAAAAGGCAAGATCATAGGAAGGCGTGGCTGTAAAATAAGAGAGATACAAGAGGTTACAGGTGCTGATATAGATGCACATTTTGCAACAGACAAGGTTTGTCTAAAGGGAAACCAAAGCCAGATAGATGCAGCAGAATGCAGGATACAAGAAATCCTTTCTGTAAGTATGACACAAATAAGTGCCAAAATACATAAAGCCTTTTGTTCATAAATAAAAGGTTCAGTCTCCTGGGAGGGTGCTTCTTTAGCAATTAAGGATTTCTTAAAGTGCTACTGAGATCAAATTTTAATGTCTCCTATTTTTACTATTTAAACACATGTTAAAGTACTTTTCAAAAGTATAATGATAAAAGGGTAAATTTTACACCCTGAAAAGATGAAAAAATGAAAAAACTTACTGACGTTTCGGACGCTAGTTTTTCGTCAGAAAGAGAATGGTTAAATTGATTAAAATGGCGGGAAACTGGTTTTTTAGTTAGATCATTTTTGCGAACACCATACTAAGATGATTGCAAGTTATCTCTTTTGCCTTTTGATTGTTTTTTCATTTTTTCATCTTTTCACGGTGTAAAATTCACCCTTTTATCATTACTGTTTAGCAGCTCGGTGCTACTTTTCAAAAGAAAAAAACTGGCATTTGCCATTTCTTGTTAGTATTTGAAAATATTGTTCGAGAGATATTCAAGTTTATGCAAAGTAGGTGGTCAATGACGCCATATTGTCATCTCATAATTTGCTTCACCTTAACCCTAACCCTATATACTAATCTCGTTATCCTTACCCCATATTTAATCATATTGTACTTACATATAGGACAAGACAAGTTTCATGGAAGGCAGTTTGCTTGTAAAAGTACCCAAATTTGTAGTGGGTTTAATCATTGGCAAACGAAGAAGTAATCTCAGGAACATTGAAGAAGAGACAGACACCCAAATATTTCAATTTGGCAAAGAACCCTGTTTCTATGTGAAGGGAGCCCCTGATGCTCAGTATAAGGCTAAGTTGAAGATAAAAGAAACAGCAGTAAGTTATTAACCACCTTTGTAAAATGAAATCGAATCATAATCCAATAATWATTAGTTTTAATTCAGTTATGGTAGTTATTAATTAGTATATTATTTATTTGTGTTAATTATTAATATAGTATTTTTAATTCATTCAATTTGTAATCAGTTTTTCTTGTATATATTTTTGGCTATAGTATATATTTTTAATCTCAGCTAGACTATATAAAGGAATCTTGAATTCTGTTTGGTCTAGCTCAGATACATTAGATTAGATTGAACCTGAATGTAATGTATTTGAAATTTGATTAAATAAATAAATGAATAAATAAATAAAAGCATTTGGTAACGGAATCAGCATAAGCCTAACCTACAAATAAAATTGGAATTTAGCATTTTAGGTTTTTCGCAGAAGTAGGAAAATAAGAAATACCCCCAAATCAGGGGGAAAATCTAACAATCTCTACTCTTATGTGATGCCAGGCCAAGGAATCTAACTTGAGACCAMAGAGTTGATAGGCGAGTGCACTAGAGTTTTGCCACCCTTGATTCTGAATTGGTAATCCTGGAAGAACTGTGATTGTTGTGTCGTGATTGGTTCCATAAAAAATGTTGCCAAATTAATTATCTTTCGTATGTCTTCCCAGAGCAATTGTCGAAGACTTCGAGGATTTGAYTTTTTCAAAAAATTCCCATTCATTGACGATAGACATGTTGGTGAGGATAGTGAGTTTGCCCTGAAGTTGTCTGTAGTCAATCCTCGCTGTCGGTGGACTGGGCAACATTATGAGCTTGTTAGTGATGGTAAATGTTTACAGCAGGTTAGTATTAGTTTGCGACCGTTAACATTTAATTCCAAAGTGACAAAKGTACAAAGAAACCAGGCATAAATGGGGGATAGAGGTTTAGATTGCCATAGACTGCGAGCGGCTTTTCCCYKTCCAGACTCAGTAAAGACGAGTGTACTCCAATCCCCGCGCGCGTCCACAGGAATCCCAATCAAAAYACTAGTGTTTACTGAGTCTGGAGGGAAACGTKGGACAGCTCGCAGTCTAAGATTGCCCTAAAAAGAAGGGATACATTCACAGTTTGTCATCATCGTTTGCCGAGAACTYGCTTTAAAAAATCCTAGCGTCATCTCTGACAACTGTTATGAAACAATAGACTTGATATTCTAATGGAAAGTGTTGGTGACTCGATATTTCAMTGTCTTTAAGGAAAAGGATAGCCCAGGATTCAGCGAACTTTGTGGTCAAATCCAAGACATTTTGCAGTCTTTACAGCAACGTGAAGACAGCGAAAACCTTCTCGTCGACATGTGGTGTCRTTATGGCCGTGCTTATATCACAGATGTCGATGAAGGYGAGTTCTTTTGGTGCATCACCACATGTTGAATTATATTTCTTTGTATKACTATTTGATTTTCAATTTTTTATTCTCAACATATGCTTCAGATGAGGCGGATAAAAGTTACTCTCTACAACAAGTCAAACAATAYCTGAAACCAAAGAATAGCCCATGGCAGGCGTCGTTCATTGGCGGGGTTCGTGAGCTGGACGTTCGTGAAATCGAAAGACTACTGTCAGAAAGACAAAAAGTGATTCATTATACAAGATATGATTTATCTTTCTTCTCTCCATCGTGTAGGCAAATCCGTCTTAAGGTAACTTTTCACTTTATCTCGTAAGATTAAAAGGAGCACGTTTTCTGCTTGCTAAGCAAGAGCGGTCCATTTTGGTCCTTAGTGACCTCACACAACGGTTTCAAGGGCCAAGTGTTGCTTGATTGGTTAGACAAAGTGTGCTGTCTGCTAAGCAAGAGGTCCATAGTTTGATACTCTGTGACTTCACACACTTGTTTTAAGGGCCAAATGTTGCTTGTTTGGTTAGACAAAGTGTGCTGTCTGCTAAGCAAGAGCCGTTCTGTCTGCTAAGGAAAAGGTCGTTAGTCACTTCGCTCACACACTTGTTTTAAGAAGTAAGTGTGGCTTGGTAAATATGAAATCTTTGCCTTTGTATTCCTGCAAGGTGATCAATACTATATTTGCAGATATTCTTAAAATCCGGCGGGGGAGAGAATGGCGAAGAGCTTTCATTTTGTGATGATAGTCCAGTRATGGTAAAGAATGTTCTAGAAAAGGTGTCACGTGACGATGGCCTTGTCTATTATCTATGTGCGCCTTCCGTGCAGCAYATCAAAGTGTACATCTTCATTCCTTTTGTTAACTTGGATTGTTACTTCATGATGCGTACAAGTAAGTTGGACTTATCCATTCCGAGGTCGAATAAAAGACTGGGTCGAGTTGGATTTGCAGTGCATTTCGGGACTGTTAAATTATGAGACGAAATAGACACCCCCTTGAAAATATGTCCCCTAAACAGTTCCACAATGCACTGCAGTGACAACCCCACCCAGTCTTTTACTTGTCACGAAGGGGAAGTGGGGGAGTGATACTTTCCCAATC